CTAACAGAAAACAGCATTACAAATATAAGACCTAAATTGCCAATACCTGTAGACAGTTTTTGGTCTCTAATTTACTTGCCTTTTCTGTGACATTTGACACTATCTGGCCTTTTGAGAAACTCTGACCCTCATGATAAAACACCCACAATTATAATGGAGCTTCTGGTATTTGAAATCTGACTAAATGCAAATGGTGTTATTTTCAGAATGTTGAGTTTAGATAAGGACGAATAGAAACTCATTCTTTAAAATCAACACAAGACATCTTAGGTTTGTTCATAATTTAATATGACAAAATTTGTACTGTTGGGTGTCAATGGTGCAGCTTAAAAGGATCCTTCCCCTTCACTTCAGCAGCCAGAAATCTGTGTAGGCACAATTCTATTACATCTCAACAAAACAGCTCTTTTAAAGAAAGGTAGCTAAAATGAAAACTTAACCGAATATTTACACACACACACACACACACACATATATATACACAAATATACACACATATATATTGTATATATATAAATATATATGTTTATATACAATTCTCAACTTAAGATATGAAAGCACACTATCTGTATTCCATGTGGAACTAGTCGTACTTCTTTGGCATTCAGATGTCACCCCAGCATATTTAGTAGCACATAAAACAAATTTAAAATGTAAGCCACCCAGAGTACCACCATCAAGGACAACTATATTGCTCATCTCCAAGATCTCAATTCCACTTTTTAGAATGACTACTGGAGGTTACAAACATCAAGATAGCTCTCCAAACTCCATGTCTAAGTGCTCCAAACTTCTCTCCCCTCAGCTTTCACCCACTTTTTTCCTGCCAGGTCTCGAAGGTGAAGTAGGTCACTGCTTTCCTTATCAGCCCACATTATGCTTCTTAAGCACTTCATGTTACACCATTTGTGTTTTCCTTTGGGGCAGTAACCTAACCATACAATTATTGCTTTTCCCATGGTGCCTAGCAGTAATAATGTAACAAAAACACCTAATGAACTGCATTAATCGTTCAGGTGATTTCAATATTTTTGCCACAATTACCTACATATCAGTGGCATCTATGGCTGTTTAGGTTTTATGACAAGGCAAATAATTTCCTCTTGGGTATTACCGATCGGTCCTCACATTTGAAGACAACTGTCCTATTTTCCTTTTGTTACAGAAATTATAGAGAAGTATTCAGTGGGGAAAGTAATATTACCTCTTGTGTCAGATTTCTGTACTATGGAGGGGTGAGGTATAATAAACAACAGGTGGAGAGAATGCAATTATCAAGAAATCTCACAGCTTTCTTGGCTCCGCTGCCATGTTCCTCTGGCAAGAATTTTTTTGGGGCTACTCTGTAAGACATAGCACACATACATCCTGCGTGTACCTTCTGGTCAGTCTTACATACCTGCCAAAAGGTAATTTTATTTAAAAAAAAACTTTACAAAGTGTGTGCACGTGTGTACACACACACATATATAATTAACAATCAGGAACCTCACTTTGAGGCATGGACAACACTGTTCCCCAGGAATATTCTACAGGTGGCCCATATAGAGTAACATCTACTATTTCCAATAATTGCAGGTGACATTCATTAAAATGTCAGTAGCATAACCCAGCTTTCCTTAGGTCTGGTATTCATTGAGAAGGGCTGCAGTACTGTTTCCCATGAGTGGCCTTTTGCTAATATAAATTACTTAAATGCCTGACAACAGGTCTTTAACACAGAAAGTTAACCGTACCAAATAAACATAAAAAATACCAAGATTGGAAAGTTGTACTTTTGAGCCAATTCATCTTATAGCAAATTGTCAATAGTAAAAACATTCCGTAGGTAATTTTCACTAGTGTGTAAAGTAATGTAAAAGTGAAAGGCTGATACACTTTAAGATTAGAGATTAAAGCAGAAATACAACTATGGTAGCAAAAACAAGCTGGCAGTAGCAGTGATTTTTTGTAACTCAGGAAATAGTAACATGGGAGTACCTTACATTTGAGTAGCAACAACTCAAAAATGTTCCTACTACGTGGGCAAAATACTTTTGGATGAGATTTACTTTAAAAGCCAAGTGTAAAACTATGCATACTTATCTGTATAGTAGTTTCCTATCTACTGACCCATTAGTGTAAACTTATTGGAATAATCTGTAATACTCTGAGGCACAGAATAACAACTGTTGATCTTCTAAAATGTTAAACAGTGTAGTGGGAAAGATGATAATCTCTGTTGGACGAGGATTACCTTAACTGGACAAATATTTTGGAAAATGGAAGTTATTACAGTTCAATTACAATCTGATGATTATTTCTCCACAAATCTTCTTTCCAAAAAGATTTGAAATAGCACTCTGTTACTTTCATCATTTGTAAGAACCGGCACTTAATAAAGTCCTGAATCTACTTGGCTCTTTTGTATCAATAAACACAAGTTCAAAGAGCCAAAATTCAAGTACTTCCTACATTTTAAGATTCAACATAAGTGTCTTCTTCCCTGTCCTTCCCACAACGAGGCAGCTCGATCCAGATGAGACAAACTGAGTAAGATAATGAATGGCTCAAAGCTCAACTAAACCAAACCAAATCAAATCAAGGCACACTTATTAGATCACTTTTGAATTACAAAAGCATCAGACTCCTACAGAAGGGGATGCAAAGGATTCAGTTAGTTTTTAAAGTTTTTCTTTTTATACTATATGTGCCTTTTAGTAGAGAATTGCCTTTTTCAATTAAGCATCAAAAATTAAACCATGGAAAGTTGTGATTTAAAGCCATATAGTCTACGCAAACCAGGTCAGATTAAGTACTAAAATTTACAACCAATGTATCTCAATGAAATTAAAATTTAAAAAATACAATTTTCTTCTTTTCCACCCGGACTCCAGAGTACTTAAAACATGAAGTAATTTAATTAGCTCTCCAAATTAAATTTCCTGTATAAAAATTGTATTTTCCTATTTGGAGTAGTGGTACCTCAGGAATCGAAATGGGCGTTAATTGGATTTTAAGCCTCCATATCCAGAAACCGTACTTTTTAAACTCTTTGCTAGATTCTTTCCACCCATAAAGTACAATCCAAAAATGATATAAAAAAATTTATCACGAGAATCAAAAGCAAAAAAAAAACCCCACACCACACCATCAAATTTTGAGCCCCCGAAGTTAAACTAAAAAAGAAAAAAATACCACTCGCAGCACACTGTATAAAGAATTTATTTGCTTCATTCAAAAAAAATCGCAGTAATGCATTTAACTATAAATGTAATCTTCTCATTCAAGGAGTTGCAAAGTTTAAATAGAAACTCTTAATTGCTTCAGGTTTATATTTTAAAGCTCTTAAAATTTCCGAGGGAACACAACAAAAAGCCAGACTTAAACTGTTATAAGGCATAAACTTTGTAATTAATGGGTCTACTATTCTGCTCCCAATGCCAGTTCTGGAGGAGGGCAGTTCTCCCTACTCCGACCTACAGCTAAAGCATGAAATAAATAGGTGCAAACCAAATCCTGCATCGACTACTGAAAGAAGCGTTGAAATTAGGTTGGAAAAGTTTGTGTCATGATCTTGCACAATTTCACTCCTACTAGAGTAAAAAGCAAACCCACGGCTTGGCTCTTACACCCGCTTTAAAAACGTCCCCGTCCACCCCTCTCCCTGCAATTCCCTCCCCGCTCCAGGAAAGCGCACAACCGACGGTGTCCGCGGTGGCCGAGCCGGCCGGGCCTCCGGGGGCTGCTCCTGAGCCCGGAAAACAAAGGGGATTCCCAGCCATTGTCCTCCGCCGCGCTGAGCATCACCAGCACTAGCAAGGCAGTAGCTTGCGCAGTTATCTCCACAGCGGGCAATGTCACAACCCGACCAACAGCACAAACTACTACCTCAGCCAGGGCCATGGTGTCGGGGAGGCACCAGACCGCGCTGAGGGGGGAGCAGAGCGGCTCCGGCGCTGCTCCGTCTTTCCTCCGCTGCCGACGGCGGCTGGCACCCCTGTCCTTCCCCGCCGCCCGCCGAAGACCCCGCCCAGCGCCCCGCCGCGGGAGCGCCCCGAGGGCTCCGGGGATCACAGGCGGCGCCGGGACCGGACTTTTCTGTGCAACCGACCGCTCTCGAAACAGAGAAAGTGCGCCCGGGTCGTGGGGGAGGGAGTCGCTCCCTCCGCCGCCGAGGGGACCTCGTCCCCTGGGCCACTCAAAAGCAGGAAATGGGCGGCCACAGCGCAGCCAGATGCCACCCGGATCCGACGGTCTCCTTGAAGCAGTGAGCGGGGTTCCCGCGCTCCGTCCTCGGGGAACTACGGACCGTTCCCGCCGCGCTCCGGCCAGGTCTCCGAGCTGCGCCGCCCGCGCCCCTCCACGCCCCAAGCCCACGGTGGGGGCTGGGCGGCGGCCGGGGCCCCAGCACCGCCGCGCTCCCCACGTCCGCCGCCCGGCCGGCTCTCAGGACGGGTGAACGCCCAGGGCGCTTCCCGCAGAGGTGGGCTCCGGCTCCGGCGCCGGGGCTAGAAACCAAGGCACAGCCCGGAAGTCCCCAGCCACACGTTCCCTACGACCCTTAAGGGGCAATCCCGTACACCTCTGCAAGAGGCGAGAAAAAACAAAAACGCCGAAAAACTGAAACCGCGCCAGATGGCGGATGGTGGTGTCGGCCGCGGCTCCACACGCGCGGACACCAGACCGCCTCGCGCTCCGCTGCTCCAGTGCGCGGGGACGAACCATAGAGATCCCTTAAGGAGGCTCGCGCGCTACTCCCCAACACGTGACCGCCCCCAACACTTCTCCCCCCCCCCGCTTGCGCCGCCATCTTGCATCCGGGACAGAAGCAGCGTCCCTTTCCCTGCCTTGGCAAGCTTCGACGTGTCACTGGAAATCAGCCCCGAAAGAGGGAACCCCAATTCCACGTCACCAAAGTGCTGAGGCCGCGGGCCATGCACCCCAGTCCGCTTAACTGGGCAAAATGACACCCCTAACTTCTCCCGGTCTTTGCCGGCAAAGAAAATGGCGGCACTTACCGCCGTCTAAGTGGACACGTTGTACTCTGACGGGGTTTAAAGTTTCCGGCACCTCCTTTCCTATCCGGCGGGGACATAACCCTTGGCGCTCCACCCCGCGGCGTGGCCACAGTGCTACATTCCGCAGAAAACCGGCGGGAAAGCTGCCGCACAGCTCGCTTTAATGCGCAGGCTCCCGGGATTTGTGGGTTGCCTTTCTTCTTAAAGGCCAAGACTGGGAGGAGACCGACTTCTATGAGCTACATCTGCTGCAGTCCCAGGCTAATTGCTTTTGCCTCCCACATCGGGATTTTTTTTGGCGTAAATCATCTTAAAGAAAAAGCAGACGGGGTTGTCATATAAAAACAGAATGTCCAATTAAGTTCAAGTTTCAGATAAGCGAATACTTCAGTATGTATGTGTCCCCTATATTTAAAAAACACGTATCTTAACTTGAGATCTAACTGGGCGTCCGGTACTTTTATCTGCTAAAGCTGGCAATGCCATTCGTCATCACGCTCCAGAAAACCTAGACTACCCTGAAGAGAATAGAGGGATTAGAGAGTTCGGATTGGGATTAACTGGACGCAGAGACTTTGATCTTGTCATGGATGTGGGAGGGCTAAGATCCAGACCACAAAGTCTGGCAACAAGGCATCAAGGGGCACCCATGGGAAACTCCTCTTTGGAAAAATAAGATTTCCCCCCTTCAACCAGCACAACAGTTTACTAACAGATCTTCTCTGCCAACAGACTGGTTGGCAATTAAAGATTACCTAGTACTCTTTGCTTTGCTTCTCTATTCCAGATGGTATTAGTGATGAAACAGTTTCTTGAAGAACAAGTTTTCAAATTAAAAGCATCCTGCCTAACATGTTTCAAAATAAAGGTCATATGCAAACTAAGAAAAAAATACGTGCCCTCTGACACATCTCGATGTTATGCTTATTCATATTTTAAAGCAACTGCTGAAGGTAGTTTGCTTGGGATGTCCATTCCGAACTATTTCCAGATAACAATATTTATGTATTTATTTCTGTGTAAACATAGGACAAACCTGCAATTAAATGCTTTATTTGATGACGCATAAACAAGACTGTGCTTCCCACTAAGTTTATAGAAACTTCACCAGTAGTTTCATTATGATTCACACCACGTAGTCCTGATAAGCAATGACTGGACTGCCAAAATATCACCCCTCACTGTTTCTCTCACTGCACTGTGGACCACATTACCCTGCACCATAGCAAATGTCATTTAGCATAATGGTACAGATTTTCAAATAGCCTTTAAACAGTTGTTTGGTTTGGCACTATACAGATATATTACAGAAATGAAGTTTCCAAGTAAATGTAGTCATTACCCTACTTTAATTGTATAAGGTTAATTTCCACAATTAACCTGTCTTTGACAGTGCTAACACCAATGCACTCATCACCCAGACACAATGTGCTACTAGCAACTCTTCACTTTTCTCCACCCTTAATATCCAGAATCTAAGTATCCTTTCCAAAAGTGACTACCTGCAGCTAATCAATCCTTCATCATGACCTCACAGGAAGAAAATCCCAACAGCCTGCTATCTTAGCTTTCCCTACTTATAGTCCCTCCACTCTATCTTGCTCATAACTGCAAGTTTATCTTCCTTAGTTTTATCACTTATTCCTAAAACTAATCACTCAAAACTCCTGTCATCTCAAATCTAAACTATTTCGATTGGGTTTCTAGAGATTTTATGAATGGACCTCAATTCTTCACCATCACTGTACTTCACCCATTGAGGACATGTACTATCAGTTCTCTCATACCTCAGATATGCCTTGCTCACATTATTTGTCTTTACCTGACATATCCTGCAATGTCCTTTGGAACCATCCAAAATTGACCTTGCCGTCAGGGCCCATTTCAGTTCTATCTCCACCCCTGAGCCTTTTCATTTCTTTATTGATTTTCCTTCTTAATACTAACAATAACAACCTGAACCACAGAGGACTAGGCTGAGGTTCACTATTTTATGATTCCCTATTAGCCTGTACAGTACTTGTTTTCCACAGTACTTTGAACGCTTGTTTAAGGCCTTACATTCCCTGCAAAACTGTAAACTCTATGAGAGCAGCGGGTAAAACAATGACTAACACATGATAGGAATTAAAATGTTAATGACAGGAGTACTGAATTATATACAATCTTGTATTTAGTATGATTTTATGTATGTGGTTTCTTCAACTAGCTACAAGTGCCTGAGCGAACCTAAGGACTTCTGTTGCATACAGCAAGGACACAGTTATGAGCATGTAGTAGATTCTTAATATGCAGTGCTTGTCCCAGTAAAAGGCAAGAAATCGGTCCCTTTATGAAAAAGTATAGGTCTTCTGCCCATCTTTAAGTGATATGTACCAAAAGTGTATTTTATTTATGTGACACCCACCTAGCAATTACCAGGTGCCAGGAACAGTGCTTCATAACACTGTTTTAAATCCTAATAAAGAACTTTATGAGTTAAACACTATTATTAATTCCATTTCACATGAATAAAACAAAATGGGTTAACTAACTTGCTCCAGTCACATTTTTAGGAAATGCCGGAGCTAGGATTTGAACTTAGGAAGTCTGGCCCCAGACTAGAGTCTTAACCACAATGCTTGTAACATAATACACAAATCAGTAAGCTATCTTAAACTGTCCTGGACCAATAATGAAAACCCAATGCAGCTTCGGAGATCACAATCATTAGACAATTTTTTCTTCACAGTATTTGAAGCTCTTTGTTATGTTCAAGTGTGTTTGTTACAACACCCATTCATAGAAATAGTAGTTGTTTAAGCCAATTTTTAACTTTACTTTAGTAAGACTTAAATGAAGTGAGATTTTAAAGATTTTAATGGAGTGAGACTAGCACGTAGTGGAGAGAACTGCTTTCAGAGCAAGACATGATGATCTACACAGACTTCAGCTGTGTGACTCTAGGAGCGTTATCTCAGCCTCTACACCCTGCCTTCCTTCTCTGTAAACTAAGTATAGTAACACCTACCTTGCAGGATTTCTCTGAGGATTATGATTCCTTATAGGACTAATATAGGTAAAGCCCTGGCTGATACATACTAGGTACTTCAGAAAGATTAAAATTAGAACTTACAAAAATTATTATAACTACACCTGGCTGCTGGAAATATTTTGTAGAAAATTTTCAGTATCATACCTTTATTACACAATTCAGGTTCTCAGAAAAGGAACATTTAAAATAAATGATTTTTCTTTGTAAGGTGGAGGGATGGTCTAGCACCGCTAGACGGGCAATACTAAAATTAGCTTCGCTAAATTAAAAAGAAATAGGGATGCTTGTAAAGCAAAAGAAATAATTGTAAGTGTCTAATCCACTAGAGGATTATGTTTTTGACCTGACCTAGAATTTTTTTTTAAGTTTAATGTTTTTTTGGCCTGGAATTTTAATACAAAGTTTTATATCTGCTTTCTTTCCTAATGACAGAGATCTCTCATAATGTCCTTCTGGGTATTTATTTTTTTCATTTTATATATTAATAGTTTCAACAAAGGTCTCAAAAACACACCTTTCTTATTCTATTTTATAAAGCTTCTTTCCAAATTAACAGCATATGTAACCCATCTTAAACATATTTAAATCATTACTTACTAAGTCTTTGTTAAACAGACTCAGTGATGTGGGGTATTACTAACGTGTTGAACTTACTGAGGATGAGAAAGCAAACACGAAGTATACTAAAGAAAAAGTGAATCATTTATCATATCTGAAAGGAAATTCTCAAAGTGGTTACGATATTGAGCTATACTGAGAAAACTAGCACTGCTAGGCCATAATTAAAAACCTAGAGTCATGCTGAGTGGTAACTGTAAAGCAAATTAAGGATCTATACAATCTCAGCTATAACTATGCACTTTTTGTGGAAAAACTATCCTTGGCCACAAAGAAAATCTGTGTTTGTGGCCAAGAGACTTTCATGATTATAATACATAACTGATACATCTCAACAACATAAAAATTGCAGGAGAAAGTGTAACAACAGCAGTATTACTTTCAAGAACTGCACTGGGAGCTAAAAAAGAAACTCACAAAATTAGATAAATATATCCAGTCTGACATAAACACCATATGGGTAACTGCATTAACAGACAGGAGTTGTATGTTTCATGTTAAAATTATGACACAGAAGTAGTAAAGGCTGGAAAGCAAATGCAATTTGCACAGTTGGATCTGAAGCCTCGTATTTTATTTTTTCTAAATAAAAAGAGTAAGTTTGTAATATTACAGCTTTGGAATTTTCCTCATATGTTGTAAACTTCATAGAAAGCAGAGTTGTTATATTGCAATAGTTTCCCAACTAATGGCATGATTTTTATCCTTCTTGCTTGTACTACTTATTGAATGTTAGTTTAAAATAAAACAATATAACTGAATTTTCTTTTTATCTGAGAGGCTAGAATCAATCAATCCAACAGTGTAATCAGAAATGTTTCAACTAAGCACATCTCTATCACTGTAAGCACCAAGTGCATGGACACCAAAGGTACCCCAGAAAGGCCTGGACAGGAGCACTGTAACAGTCTAGGTCTCTGTCAGGAGAACGCTGCTCTGTAACAGACACAGCGAGGCAGCTGAAAGACATGGGCAATGTGCTGCGTCAGGTCCTCTTATTTAGAAAACACAAGTCTAAATTAGCTCAAAGCATCTGCCTCCAAAAACAAACAAAAGACAAGAAAAACCACCCTAATGTAAACTGATTTTAAAGGCTCCCTTTTGAGAAAACGGCTATGAGCTCTCTATCCACATAACGGAAAGACATGATTATTCCAAGTTTAACTGCTGAATTCATCATACTCAGAGCAATCCCATCCTCAGTGTGCAGCCTCAGTGCTGAATCCTGTGGCTTCAAAAGACAGTAGGAGCTCTAGTCACAAATTACTTTACCTTGTTCAACTATTTTATAATGTCAGGGAGACTTCAACTTTGCAAAGAAAAGCAACAGTGGCTAAAGCAGAAGGTATTACCAGAGTTCCATTCAATAAGCAGTTGGCAGTGGTTCACCACCAACACGTGGTATCTCTTGAATAAGGTGCTGGTAAAATTAGAGGAAGAGCTTGAAGAAAAGAGGCAAAGAACGTGGGAGATGAATGAAAGGAGAAAATGAGAAAAAATAAGTAAACTTATAAAAATGAAGGTAAGATAAACATAAAAAACTTTTGAAGGAAGAAGGGAAACAAACTGATGGGATAACAAGAGAGAAAAATATGTAGTCAAAGGTCTGAATTAGGATATGTTAACATTTATCAAAAACGACTTGACCCACCATGGTCCTAGAACAGGAGTCCTCTTCTCTGGTTCCCCGCACGCCTCCTGCGCCTACCCTGGCCACCATTCAGCAACTGGTAGGAAGATAGCACTTAGTGGAGAGCAAAGGCTTCAATGAATACATGAAGGAACTAGGTGTGGGAAAGGCTCTGTGGAAAACGGGTGCCATGGCCAAACCAGACTGCATCACTACTTTTGACAGCAAAAACCTCACTGTAAAAACTGAGAGCACATTGAAAATGACACAGTTCTCATGTAACCTGGGAGAGAAGTTTGAAGAAACCACAGCTGATGGCAGAAAAACTCAGACCGTCTGCAACTCTGTAAATGG